GCGAGGGGGTGGATGGGATCCCGAACAAAGTATGGAAGTATGAGGGGGGAGGAGATGGAGAAATGGATGTGGAAGATATGAATGAGGTATGGGAAGGGGGGGATGGCCAAAGGAATGGAAGGAGGGAGTAGTAGTTCCAGTAAGGAAAAAGAGACAAGGGGAGGAGGTAAAGGATTATAGAGGAGTTTCAATAATGCCGACGCTTTATAAAATATATACGGCGGTGCTAGCGGAAAGGCTAAGGGAGGAAGTAGAGGGGAAGGGGTTAATTCCACCGAATCAAACGGGCTTCAGAAAGGGGTTGAGGACAATGGACAATATTTATGTTTTGAATTATTTGGTCAATAGGCAGGTAAAGAAAAAAGAGGGAAAATTAATTGTTTTATTCGTTGATTTAAAAGCGGCATTTGATTTGGTGGATAGGGGGACATTGTTGGACGTGATGAGACAGAGGGGGGGGGGATTGGAGGAAAGTTTTTGGACAGCGAGGGGGGTAAGGCAGGGGTGTCCTCTGAGCCTTTATTATTTAATATTTTGACGGCGGATATGGAAGAAGAGATAGGAAAGGTAAAGTGGGTGTGGGGTGAAGATAGCGGATAGAAGAATTTTTGGGTTAGCATATGCGGATGATGTGGTGCTGTTGGCGGAGGATGAAGGAAGTATGAGGAATATGATAGGGTGGTTAGAAGGGTATATGGAAAGAAAGGGATTGGAGGTGAATAGGGAAAAGACAAAAATAGTGAGGTTTAGGAAGGGGGGGGGAGGAAAGAAGTAGTAAAGTGGATTGGAGATGGAAGGGGAAGGTAATAGAAGAAGTGAAGAAATTCAAGTATTTGGGTTATATGACGCAGAGGAATGGGGGGCAAGAGGAACATAATGTTAAGGAAAGAGTGGCGAAGGCGATGGCAATGATGGGACAGGTGTGGGGAATAGGAAAAAAGAGGTTTGGGAAAGACTGGAAGAGGAGGGTATGGATATTTGACAGGCTGATTTGGGCGATGGTGAGTTACGGGGCGGAAATATGGGGATGGAAAGAGAGGGGGTGGAGAGATTGCAAGAAAGGTATCTAAGGTGGATGTTGGGGGTAGAGAAGACACTGGGATATATGGTAAGGGAGGAATTACAAAGGCAAAAGTTAAGGATGAGGGCGGGAAAAAGGGCGTAGGCATTTGAGGAGAGATTAAGGGGAAGTGGGGGAAGTGGATTAGCGCAATTATGTTGGGAGGAGGGGAGAAGGAATATAAAGAGGGGGGAAATGTTAGAGGGGAGAGGGAGAGGAAGCAATTTTTTTTAGACAGGGGGGTGGAATTAGAGAATTGGCAAAGGGGGGAGGGAGAGGGAGAGATGTGATGGGATGAGTTACAGGAAAGGGATAGGGAAATTCAGAAGGGGGAAAGGTGGGAGAAAAGAAGGGTAACGAAATTTAATAGGTGGTATGGATGGATAAAAGGGGTGGCGGTTCCGGCGTATTTAAGAAAGGGTTGGGGAGAGGGGAGATGGAGAAAAGTGGCGAGATTTAGACTAGGGAACGAGATGAGGGAAGGAGATATTGGGAGGGAGAGGAGGAAAGGAATTGCAGGCTATGTGGGAGTGGGGTGGAAACATGGGAACATACGTGAGAGGGATGTAGGAGTTGGAGGAAGGGAGAGGATGGAAGTTGGCAAGAAGTGGTGGGTAGAATATTGGGGGAAGAAGGGGATGGGGAGGGGTGGATGAGGGAGGTGGAGGAAGAAAGGAAGAAAGTGGGAGAGGAAGAGAGAAGGAGGGAGAGAGAGGGAGGGAGAGAGAGACAGAGAAAGGGGGGGAGAGTGAATAAGGGGAGCGATAGGTAGGGAGAGAATAAGAAATGAGAAAAAGGGAGAGAGTGAGTGAGAGAGAGGGGTGGAGGGGAGGCTCTGTGGAGAAGAATGATGATGTATATTAAAAATAATTTGAAAGGAGTATTGACCGCGTAGATTGTAGTGGGCAGACGCCGGAAACGAAGGTCCTGGCGGAGAGAGAGAGAGGGGGGAAAGTGGACAGACACCGGAAACGGAGGTACTGGCGGAGAGAGAGAGAGAGTAGTTTGCGTAGGTAGGTTAAGTTAGGCTAAGATAGGATAAGTTAGTTAAGGTAGCGTGTTGTTCCGGGAACCAGCGTTCCGGTGATACGACTGGAGAGCCTGTCTCAGGGACCCAATGCGATGGGGATAAAAGAGAGCGGAAGCTCTCACTCTTTCTTCAAAAAGCCTGGGCCAAGATCATATAAAGGAAGAACGGCCGAACCTAGCTACATGGATTCATCAGCCAAAGACACTGAGACACAAGAGATCAGCTCGGATAGTGATATCTCAGAACACGGAAGAACAAAAGGAAGAGGAAGGATCGTCGACGACGACTCAGATACTTCACCTCCTGTTAAGGTGAATATAGGGAGTAGAGGACCCCAGAGAACTAGGGGTAATAGAAAAAGAGAAAGAATTACATCCGAGATAGAATCGGAGTACAGAAAGAGCAGGACGACCGGCGATTATATAGGGCGAAGAGAAGCAATTCAAAAATTTAACGAGGCCAAGGAAGAGGCTCTCCAGCTAGAAAGGGAGAGAATAATAAGGGAATATAGCAATTTCGAACTGTTCAAAAAATCCAAAATTGACCTGGATAAAATTAAAGACCAAATGGAGGTTAAATCTACCGAAGACCTGGCAACCAGAGTCACCGAAAACTTGTCTGAGGTCCTGAGAATAGCCAAGTCTTCGAGTAATCTAAAGGGGACTTTCCAAAAAAGTCTCAGGCTGGCTGCGGCGTCATCAATGGGAATCCTGGAGATATTGAAGGAAAGAGCAACTCTATCAAAAGAGGAAGCCAAGTCGGAGGAGGTAAAATTACTCAAAAGAGAGATCGCCAGACTCAAAGGCAAGCTGGAAACGGAAGTTGAAGGAGAAAGAAGAAAAGCCTTACAAGCAGCCGGAGAAGCTGCTGCATATAAAACTGAACTGCAGACACTGAGGAAAGAAAGATCGGAAAGAAAAAAGAGCAAGACGCCGAGCCCGAAGGACAAAGACAAAGAGAAAGATAGAGAAGGGAATAGCAAGGGAAAACCGCACGACAAAGGAAAATCCCCAAATGACACCTCAAAGAGGAGCTCCAGAAGGACTCCCTCGGCGAGTATTAAAGCAAGGGAGAGACTCGTCACGTCCGAGTCGGAATACATGGAGGTGGACGAAAAAAGATCCCCAAAAACCGATAAGGTGGTCCTGGACAGACCAGAGAACTGGCCTGAAGTCATTCGACCGACTCTATGCGGAAAGAGAAAGATCATGAAGGAAGAACCGGAGATGCAAAATGCTATATATATAGCGCATAAAAAGTACATCGCTGAAGGACACGACGAGAAGAAAAGAGAAGACAAGAGAGATAAGAAGAACGGAACAGGCAGTGAATCAACAGACCTAGCGAATATGATTCGAAGAATAGTAGCGGAAGAGTTGGAAAAACACAACAAAAAACCGCGCATAACGGAGATACAAACAATGAAAACTCCCATCACTGTAACAAAAGTGAAAACCACGGATAGGCATAAACAAACAAAGGAAAGTAGTCAACCCGGCAAACTCAAGAGTGATGAAACTCCTAGGAGAATTACAGCCGGGACAGAGAAGGAGAGAACAAGTAGACTCGTAAACGAGAGCACGACCGATATAGAGGAGAAAGCCATCGAGGTACCATGGTCCAAGATCGTTGGCAGGAAAAACAGGAAGGCAACCAACTCTGAGAAAACGACTGCTCCAAGAAGTAAACCCTCAGTAGCCACACCGGCGAAATCCTCAAAGATAAGGGGAGAGGTGAATAAAACAAACAGGAGGGTGCCTAGAACGGCGGCTGTCCAGATAAGTTGCCGCGGCGAGGCGACATACGCGGAAGTGATGAGAGTAGCCAAGGCGAAAGTAAATATAGACAGCCTGGAAATCCCAGAGATAAGGCCAAGGAAGGCCAGAACGGGGGCCCTCCTGCTCGAGATTCCGGGTAAGGAAGGAGCTAGTAAAGCGGACGCGCTAGCTGAAAAACTGAAAGAAGCTCTTGAAAATGAAAAGGACGTGCTAATCACACGACCTGAGAAGATGGCAGACATAAGGTTGAGAGATCTTGAAGACTCAACCAAAAAAGAAGATATTCTCGAAGCACTAGCAAAAAAGGGCGAGTGCTCTAAGGACATTATTAAACTAGGGGACATTGTACCAGCTAACAATGGACTGGGCATGGTCTGGTTGAAATGCCCTATAGCGGCCGCGAAGAAACTCGCCAATAGTAAAAGAATCCGCATTGGTTGGATGATGACCAGAATAGAACTATTACCGGAGAGGGTATCGCAATGCCATCGATGCCTGGAGACCGGCCACGTCAGGAACCAATGCCGGAACGAAGTTGACAGATCAATGGCCTGCTACAGATGTGGACAGAATGGCCATAACGCGAAAGGATATACAGAACCGGTGTACTGCATCATCTGTGCCGACAGGGGCCTTAAGGCGAACCATAGGATGGGAGGACAATCGTGCAAACCCAACGCGGTAAGACGGAAAGGCAGTGCCAAACCCACTCTACTAAAACTAGCACAAGCATCCACAAGGGATGACGATACAATGGTGATCGATGCTGATCCAGGGACAAAAAGGATTCCAACGGAAACATCAAATGATGCTGGAGAGGTGGAAACTAACGTGGTAAGGTCCATGGCCGCGTGCAGCGTCAATGACCCCAAAACGACAGAGGTGACGCAGGACTCCACGATAGAGAGTATGGAGGTGGATAATCCACAGGAGTGGAAGACTCCTGAGGCGACATTCACCCAAGGAATAGATTGGCCCGAACAGGGACAAAACTGGAACCAGGAGGACCAAGCGACGGCATCAGGGAAGGAAGGAGAAGGAGGAATCTCCATCGTAAATAACAATGGTTAATCTTGTACTGCAGGCTAACATCAACCACTCAAGAGACGGTCATGATGTTCTCTTGCAGACGATGGCGGAGGGAGACTTCGCGTTGTCGATCGTGTCGGAGCCCTACACGATCCCTGAGGGCCACCCTCACTGGCACTCGAACGAGATGGAGACGGTCGCGATCACATGGAGGCAGGCACAAGAGGCAATGCCGTGCACCCCGTACGAAAGAGGGGAACATTTTACCTCTATTAGATGGGGAGACATGCTGATAGTGGGGGTATATCTACCTCCAAGCCTCGGCATATCCCAGTGCGAGGAAGCGCTTGAGGAGCTGGAAAGATGGGCCATAAGACACATGGACAGACCTATGATTATCGGAGGTGACCTAAACGCTAAGTCTCCGATGTGGAACTCTAGAAGCACCAACCCACGAGGAATACTTATCGCGGAATGGGCCAGTGCCATGGGCATGTGCTGTCTAAATAAAGGACATAAAAGCACATGCATAAGAATAAATGGGGAGTCGATCGTGGACATTACATTCGCCAACCCGATCGCCGCTAGGAGAGTCATTAACTGGACGGTCTCGAAGCGAGAATCAAAAACAGACCATCGATACATAGAGCTCACCATGAGCCCCACGGGTCAACAGATACACAGAAGGAAACTTCCGAGAGCCCAAAGATGGGCCACAAAAAGGTTGAACGAAGACGTATTCCTGGCTGCAATCATGGCAGGCACATGGCCAAGGAGGGAGCAAGAGGTAGAAAACACAGAAGTCCAGGCCAGGTCTCTTCAGAAAGCGATGGTAGAGGCATGTGACGCCTCCATGCCTAGGTCCATACCGAGACCACGTAGGGCCATGCCCTGGTGGTCTGAAGAGCTGGCTACTCTACGACAGGAATTAACTAGAGCAAGAAGACAGTTGCGAAGAATTAGGAGAAGAGCGGCCCATCTAAGTGAGGCTGAAAAGCAACTCTACCTCCTAAATTTTAGATTGGCCAGAGACAGTTTCGGAAAGGCTTTGAGAAGGGCCAAAGCTAAAGCCTGGGAGGACTTTGTTCAGTCGCTTAACGAGGATCCATGGGGGCGCCCTTACAAATTAGTACTCGGTAAGCTGAGGAAGTGGACACCACCATTTACTGAATCCCTTGAGGAAGGGACTCTGACACGAGTGCTCGCCGGACTGTTCCCATCCATAGGAATGGCAGGAACCTGAGTTACCACTAGAAGGGGCCGCTGCTTGGAACGCGGAACTAGAAGTTTCCCACGAGGAGCTCCTACAAGCTGTCGGTAGGATGAGAAGCAAGAACGCAGCACCAGGTCCCAGCGGGATATCATCGAAAACCTGGACCCTAGCTGTGAACGTCATGGCTGGAGAACTGATTAGGCTATACTCACAATGCCTGAAGAAAGGTCACTTCCCAGGTGTTTGGAAGAATGCTAAGCTGGTGCTTCTAAGAAAACCAGGAAAACCAGACGATCAACCATCGGGTTATAGGCCGATCTGTTTGCTTGACGACGAGGCAAAGCTCCTGGAGCGTATCATAGCGGACAGAATCGTCAATCATCTAGACAATAGAGGGCCGAACCTGAATCCAATGCAATTTGGCTTCAGAAAGGGGAGGTCCACAATAGATGCCATTAACGAAGCCAGGGCATTCATGGAGGAGGCCTTTGCCAACGGCAATAAAGTAGTAGGAGTATCACTTGATATTAAGAACGCTTTCAATACGCTGCCTTGGAACGTTATTGGTAGGGCTCTGCTAAAGCATAAGGTTTCCTTGTACCTTAGAAGGATAATCAGAAGCTACCTCCAAGACAGGAGACTGTCATTCGGTAGAAGCGACAGCACGGAGGGACATAAGACTGTAGAAAGAGGAGTGCCGCAGGGGTCTATCCTCGGGCTACTCCTCTGGAACATAGGTTTTAACACAACCATGGACAAGAGGGAACTCCCCCCAGAGAGTTTGGTTATATGTTATGCGGACGACACATTGATCCTGACGACAGGGGAAGACTGGGAGGAGGCCACCACCCTCTCTAACATCACAACAGACGTAGTCATCCAGAGGATACAGGATCTGGGACTGGAAGTAGCCCCTGCCAAGACAGAGGCAGTGGGCTTCTACGACAAAGGCAGAACAGCCCACACGAGTCTGAGGGTGGCAGGAACGACTGTCAACGTCGGCACAAGTATGAAGTACTTGGGATTGGTATTAGATAGTAAGTGGAATTTTGAGGCCCACTTCTCCAGTCTATCGCCAAGACTCGAAAAAGCTGCACTCAATCTCAGTAGGCTCCTTCCGAACCTGGGAGGACCCAACTACAGAGCGAGAAGGCTATATGCACAGGTGGTGGCGTCTATGGCTCTATATGGCGCCCCAGTGTGGGCGTATGAAATCTATAAAAATAGAAAGTGTTTGCAAATTATTAGACAAACACAGAGAAGGATGAATGGCAGGCTTATTCGAGCCTACAGGACGACCTCCTGGATTACGAATTCCGTGCTGGCGGGGATACCTCCCCTGGAACTGGAGGCTAGAAGACAGGAAGAGGCGTACTCGAGGATAACGGACACAAGGAGAAACATGCCGAATAATACTCCGGTACCCAAGGTCACTATAGAGGGCATCAGGGAGGCGACCAAGAGAAACTTAGTCAGGAAATGGAAGACATGGTTACACGACCAAACAACAGAGGAGGATGTGGTCATAAGGGCCATTCAAGACCAACTGGAGGACTGGTTAGAGGCGAAAGTGGGGCTCACCTTCCGGGCGACGCAGGTCCTGACGGGACACGGCTGTTTCGGACGGTACCTGTGTCGCATCGGGAGGGAGCCCACGACAGAATGTTGGAGCTGTGATGCCGAGGTCGATTCGGCGAGGCACACACTCCGATACTGCCCAGCCTGGACAACAGAAAGGAGCGCGCTGCAGAACGTTGTGGGGCAGAACCTCGATTGGAGGGCGATCGTTACGGCCCTGAGAAGGGAAGACGGGAGGAGAACCTTCCTGGAGTATTGTGAAGCGGTTATCACCAGGAAAGAGGCCATCGAAAGGGACAGAGAGAGGGCGGCTGGACTACCAGCTCAAGGGGCGATAAGAATAGACTAGGGGAATGAAAAAACCGCGAGATTGTGGTTAGGGACACCAGGTACAGGAGGGGACACCGTTTTGTACGCGGTGAGGGACTTAATTGTGCTTGTGCTGCACGAGTTCCGACACCGCGGGGAGGGGTATCTTCTCCATCTTTAACTTAGATACCCCTCCCCGTGGCCCTAACCCAGCGAACCTGGGCGATAGGAGGAGACGTACAGCCGCACCGACTAGCGGTGCGGCTGGTCTCGCAAACTAACGAGAGATCTGCAGGGCTGTGAGACCTAGCCAGACATAGTCTGGCCCTCACGGGATAGGCCCATGGAGCCTCGGGCGGGGGCCCGAGGTTCCCACGAGATGGGTTAAGGATAGGAGGGTGTGTTGCCGGCGTCCTCACACCCTCATGTAAATAAGGGATAGGCTACGCAAGTAGACAAGCGGGGCCCATCCGGATGTACTACTGCTGCGAAACTCCCGGATGGGTCCCACTCGCTTCGGGTTAGGTACGTCCGCAGGGGTTTTAGTGGGTAGGCTCCTCGAGGGACTAACCTCGAGGAGAGAGTCCCACATACCCCGTCTCTCTCCCCCGAGGGAGACGGGGATGCGTAACGCATTTCCCCTGCGTCACAAAAAAAAAGGTAGCGTGTTGTTTAATAGTATAAATATGTGTAATATGTTGTAATCCCTAGGGAATCAATAAATTCTGTATCTATCTATCTAATAATAATAACAATAGTGGGCTATTTTCCAGCTAGGACACAGAACATTACACTATGTTTATGAACAGTACACTACATTCCACTGTGTATAAGATACTTATTAAAACGCAGTTTAGTTTCATAGGGTAACACCAGAATGCATTGTAATCTTCCATTCTTATTCTTATAATTATATTTAGCGTATCAATAATAAATTTATGATTTTTATTTAGACTTAAGTTATAATTTTTTCAGAATTGGCGATTTTTGAAAGTTTTATTGCAAAATAAGTACGGAAACCAAATAACTTTTTTGAAAAGTTGGTAACATGTACGTATTTTACACGCTTACTACTTAGCTTTTTACAGTGTCGAGCAGTGTAAGGGGCTCCGCACAATAAAAGGAACAGGGAACAGAGAACAGAGAATAAGAATTTCAACCTATCAGAAATCATGTTTTGTGGAATATACAACGTGTATTCCACAATACATGATTTCTGATAGGTTGAAATTCTTATTCTCTGTTCTCTGTTCCTTTTATTGCGCGGAGCCCCTTACACTGAGTCATAGTTGGAACACTTTGCGTAAGACACAGTGTTACACTGTGTCACCTGTATACGTTGTTGGAAAACACCTAATATATGTTTTTACAGTATAAGTTATGGGTGACGCCCAGTTGGACACGGCTCAATTGGACACGAGCCACTCACAGCGCTTGAGACTACAAAGCTTCTAAGCACCGGTCGCTGTGATTGGTGGTGTCCAATCGAGCCGTGGTCAATCGGGATCACCCCATAAGTTATTTAGATTAAGTTAAAGAAACAAGTTGCTATATTAAATAAAATTGTAAAAAACTTTCTCTTAACGTAGTATGTACATACATACATCAAGTTTGTGTGGAACAAAAAGCAACATAAAATAAACGAGAAATTAAAAATAAAATTTTAGTATATGTGTTACAACCGTAGGCCATAGATATAAGTATTATAGATACTATAGATAGTTAAAATAACTGATACGCGTTAATTCGTATTACCTGATAGTATCGCCATTGGCTGCGTTCGGGAACGTCGCTCAGATGCCTCCGATGCCTCGGGTTTAACATCTGTCCTTGTTTAACATCTAATATTAAACAAGAGGTTTGTTCGTGTCGCATGCTTCAACATGCTCCAATATGCTCCTGTCATAGTTCCTACTCACTCTAATGAGTGCATTGAAGTGAGTAGAAGCTATGATAAGAGCATATTGGAGCATGTTGGAGCATACGACGCGAACAAACCTAAGGACAGATGATGAATCCGAGGCATCCGAGCGACGTTTCCGAACGGAGCCAATGTCGCCATTTGTAAAAAAAAATACAGTGGCCACGGGATCTTTCGTGCTGGGATATCGCAATATCTCAAAGATATTCAGTAAACATCTGGATATATGGCAGATATCAATAGAATATACTAATGTCTGCATCAAAGAAGGACTAAGATATCTCAAGTTTAAGCGAAATATATTCTTACATTATTCCTGGGATATCCGTGATTATTGTTGCTTATAGTAAAATCTGAAATGTTATCGTAGGTATATTATAAAGATATATTAGAGATAATTATAGTATCTAGTCGAGATATATTTGGGAGAATGTTTTTTATAATTATAATGATGGCTTAATTTGTCCGCGGGTCTTAATTGATCTGCGGGATGAAGAGAAAGGACGACAAGCATGCGCATTAGAATCTAGGATCACGCATTCTATCTCCATCCTTGTCAATCTTCTCTGCATTCTACCTCCATCCTTGTCAATCTTCTTGGCTTCAACTTTTCGAGCCTATGCTCCTTCCAGTAGTATATGTTTTAAGATGAATACCACCTGAAGAGATAATTTCTTTAATTATGCCCTTATATATGTACGTACATTATAATTACGTATTATTCTATAAGTTTTATATATAAAGAGACATCTTAGAATCGACTGGAAAATATCTTATCTGTTAGATGTCTTCAGAATGTCTCTAAGATATATTGTACACATTTACTTTGTTCGGGGTAAGATATCTTCTAAATATCTTATACAGGAAGTGTATTCATGATATAGTCATTATAATATACTCATGACATCTTAAAGATATTGAGATATATTTCGTATATCCGCGATGATTTTAGTATATCCCATAGATCTCCATTGCTGTGTGGGATGTATTTGACCGAAATATAGATACAGGCGCTACGGTCACGGAAATTCCGTTAGACACGATAGGTAGTCTCTCTAGTATTTTGATATTCCAGAACGTATTATAAAATTGCTTGGAACTTGGAATGAGTACCGAACGGAATTATTTAGTTTTCGGTAATTATACAGAATACCTCCCACACCTCCGATTTCGATAAAATGTGGCTCATTCGACGCGTTTTTGCATGAAACGAAAGAATCTG